GGCTTCAGACTTAGGGTTATCACTCGTGGTCCCCGAAGCTGACTAGAGCAGTATTCTTTTGACTAGTGTCTCTTCTAGGTTACAGCAAAAATATCTCACAGGTAGACAGAGCGCTGAGTGCACAGGACTTGCTGGCCTTTCAGCTCAGTGTCTCATGAGATCCTGACTCTGTTAACTATTTACTCGACATGGCCTTCAGCTCCAGGCTCTTTGCTGTAGTCCCTATTGCACAATTACACTTTAATGTGGGTCACAGACAACATTACACTTCAGTGTGGTTACAACTACATCCATAGCACCGTATCTTCTGTTAGAGGGAGAAGCAGATGGGGACTGCAAACACCATGCTTTTGTGCATGCATTGATTAATTTGCATGAAATCATTCAACAAAGGGTTTTTTTTTTTTCATACCATGTATGACTTGAATGTCATCTTCAGTCTTGGCCTCAGTGGCCCTACTCTCCTCCAGAGACAAGATGCTCCCCAGAGCACTCCTACTGATTTCTGTCCAACTCATCTCATACTGCGTGGCCTGTGAGGGCTTCTCAGCACATGGTCTCATCTGTCCCCGCACTCAACTGGAGGTTCCTTCACCCTGACAAAGATGGTGCCCACTTGGTAAAGCACTCTTTCCTTGATATCTAACCTGGTGCTTTGCATACGGACACCAATACTCGTGGAGGTAATGGGTTTTCTGACAGTTGAAATGTTTGTGCTGAGGGTGGAGACATACTGAATTGAGATCTCTTGGAAAAGGTGTTCCTCTGGCCATGATACAAACCACACCACATTGTCATTGCTGATTTACTGAGCTCACTTCCCCATTTCCAGTGTAAGCTCCTTGAAAACAGGAACAGATTCTATTTGTCTTTAACATCCTACATAATCAGCTTACCCTCCATATTTAGAAAGTTTACTCGATGTTGCTTTACTGGGATTCGACTGTTTACAGAACAAGAATGCTGAGCATTGAAGAAAAAAAGGACAATAATATAATCTACCTGCCCTGCCAGGCCACTAAAAACATCTTGGTAAATATTAGCTAATGTACAGGCCTTTGCTTGCTATTCAGATTTACTGATTTCAATAGAAAGTCACCTAAAAATATGCACGTTACATAACCCAGACACCAGGGTCAATTTCTAATCACCCAATAATTCAAAAATTACAGAGTGGCTCTGTTTGTGGTTAGATTAGATGCCATTGTCTATGAAAAATAGGATATGTTATGAGCTGGGTAGAATGGATCTGGTGTGTGAATGTTAAGTTTGGTCAGAAGATGAATTTATCCTGTATCCTTATACCTATTCTCTAAGTACAATTCTCCCCACTCTGAATAAATAAATCAAAAGCATTGGATAATCCAGTACATATAAAAAGTACCTTTAGTAAATGGCAGATTTCATAAAATAAATCCTGCAATAAAGGCTTAGTTTCTTACATAACAGTCACTGTTGTAAAGGGAGATTAATGGGCGATCTTATTTCTTCCTGGTGTGATCTTACTTTCAGTGTACAAATATGTACTTCTGTGTCTACATATTCTCCTGTATTATTGTGTACACTTGGGAATTTCAGTACCTCATCTCGGTATATTCAGAAAATGGGTTGGAAAG